ATGTATGGATCACTTGGGTTGTTACCAACATCTGGTGAAAATTTCATGTCATTAGCACCTCTAGTAATATATTTACTGAGAAAAATGGTGATGTGTTCCATACTTATTTTACCCGCTGTATATGAATAAAATGTGCGTAAGTGTGACAGCTGCTGAGGTAGACAAACAGACTGATACAGATTTTCTTTTCCTTTACCCTTTTGAAGGATTGGTTTCAGTTCTCCAAAGGCCTGATGAAAGAAGGCTTCAAAGCCAATTACAACGAGCAGGCCTGCCCCGTGCGCGAGTACACCTACGTGTCACGCTTCGACAGCAACAGCTCCGACACCTCCGACCTCAGCGACACCACCAATCAAACCGACTGCTCCGTCTTCATCGGCATGAACGAGTCAGAGGACCCGTGAACAACTTTCCTCCAGGTCTAATATCTAAAGATGAGCAGCAAGTTCTGTCTAAACGCATTCAATTTTGGATTCAGGAAGGTGTTTCAGTTGACTGGAAGGATTTGTTTTATACAAATATAGTATAGCAACCTTTGTGTAAAGCAACCATATTCTTTCTGCAGCCATTCAGAGTTTTGATTCATCAAAAATAAAATACATCTGATGACTGGTTCTGCAACCAACCCAGCAGTGGTGAAATGTTTAATGTTCTTTCCATTATCAATATTACTTAATTTCCCTCTGGGATCAATAAAATATTTTTGAATTTGAATTTATAATTCTAAGAATAATTCAAACATAACCAAAAATTTCAAAATGTTCTATTTGATTGTGTTGTTAAATGATGTGTTTTATATTTTTTACATTTTTCATTTTGTTTTTATTATATATTTTTTAAAATCCTGCTTCTTTTTTGCCTTTTTTACTCTTGTGTTTTTCCAATGCTAATGCTTCACAGACTGAATGTATTTTGAATATAGCAACTCTTTTGCTCACATGTAATCACATTGACAAAAACCTATAACGTCATAAAGTAAAAAGCACTGAAAGCTGGCGTGTCTAAGTTTCTGAGTTTTTTGTTGACATTGTAATCCCTTTATGTTTCTAATAAAATAAAGGCATGCTGTTTACTCATTTATTTATGCATTCTAATTGCAGTTAATTTTAAGTTGAATTGTATAGTTTGTTACATTTCATTAAACAGAATTTAATTTCTGTTTAATGTTTAAAAACAAGATAACTGTTGCTCTTATGCTAACCTGATTTTATTCATATAATTTGTTTATTTTGTTGGTTTTGATTGGTTAAAGAAGTGTTTCCAGTAACTAGTCATGGGTCACATTAATGCCAGCAGCATCCCACCTTTTTTCCACCCCCAATAATTTCTTTTCATTTCAAGCAGTCTTCACAGAGGTCAAGATCGCACGTCCTGCACAACTAAAAAAAAATAAAATAAAATAGCACTTGATAGTCCTCCCACAGCAGCTTAAAGTGAAACTTCACTTATTAGCTGTGTTTTGGCCTTCATATTCATCCAACAGACCGTATGTGTCTATGGTAAAATATCACTCCATTAAACTGAGCACAGGAGTCCCTCAAGGATGTGTGCATAGTCCTCGGTTCTTTACCCTTCCAACATGGAAGTGTGCTGCCAAATTCAGAATGAGCTCATTGAGTTTGCTGAGGACAACAGTAGTGGGATTCAATATGTCTCTTAGGCCTTGTCCACAAAGAAACACACAATCCAATAACTTATTTCTAAAAATATCCTCGTAAATCCATCACCATTTCTAGAAATGTCTTGAAAGGAAAGGAATACCATGTTACTGCTGCCTATGTGGCACTGTAACGCTGTACACCACAAAAACAGTAACCACGGTGTGAAGCAGGCTCACAAAGCTTCACAACACAGGTAAGAACTGAGACGGGGCAATGAAGTTATCATTTTCAAAAGGCTGTGCTTTGGCCGTCTATACACAAAAACACAAAAATAGGTGATGTAAGATTTTTTTTCAAAAAAGTACCATTTTGCGGATTCAAAATGCCATTTCGGTTTCGATACAATCATTTAAAAAAAATTTATGTACACTTCTAGTGATGAAGTTGATAGGAGGTAGGAGGCCTCCTATGGGCCTCCATTGATAGGAGGCCCCAGGGAAGACCCAGGACTCACTGGAGGAATTACGTATCCTCTCTGGCCTGGGAACACCTTGCCCCAGGACAAGCTGGAAAGTATTTCTGGGGAGAGGCATGTCTGGGTTTCCCTCTTGGACCTGCTGCTTCCTGCTATGGATAAGTGGCAGAAGAAAGAGATGGAGACTTTAAAGTATCCCTGTGTGGATGGTCGCTTCACATCAGCCAAACAAAAAAGCTGATTTTGGATTCTAACTAAACTCCCAAAAACATCAATTGCGTGTTTGTTTGTTGTTTTGGCACTCATCTGAAAGAAAGAAGCCCAGTTTTATGTCAGTAAATTGAAATTTTCAAAGAAATGACATTTGCATATTTATGAAATTAAATAATGATTATCTTTTACTTTTTTTTCCAAAGGTGATACTGTTATTACTGATACAACCCCAAAGTCCCTCAGTATTTGTTAGTGTAAATTTTGTTCATTCACTCTAATTATTTTCTCTTGTGTGTGGTAAGTGTTTAAGGTATCAGAAGCATTAAAAGAACTCTGCAAAGCCACACAGAAACTAAATGACTGTTATGTTGTGTTATATAAAGTACTACAAAGTGATACTTGAGTAAAAGTACAATCAAATTACTTTGGTAAAAGTTAAAGTCTCTTTTAGGAATATTACTTGAGTAAAAGTCTTAAAGTATCTGATATTTTTTGTTCTTAAGTATTAAAAGTAAAAGTATTGATTTAAAATGAGAAGTTAGATTTTCTGTAATGACATTTATYAGGAGGTGACCTCCCCAAAAACTGCAGAAATGACTGTTGTATTAAAAGAATGAATGGATGTTAAATTTAGGATGCACTAGTCCAGCTGTTTCAGTTTATATACATATATCACATATATCAAGGGTGTCCAAACCTTTTCCCCAAAATTAAAAATCTATCTGACAGCTGTGGGCAAATGCAATAATATAATTCATTAAATACAAATACTTCTTAATTCATAAGAAGTACATAGAAATACTTCTTAATTCATGAAACACAAATACTTCTTTAGTCTTTTTCTTTTAATGATTATGTCCTGCTCAAGTGTGACATGATTTGTTTGTGTACAAAATAATACGGTATCAGAAATTTATATATTTATACTTCTCATTCAACCACAGTTAAATTCACTCTATCTAGGAGGCACAGTTTATATGGATGGTATTTATTTTTTACAACAAGCTGGAATAAAAACAAGCAAAAATGAAATAAAAGTAACGACTTTCCTGCCTTTTTCAAAAAATGTAAGGAGTAGAAAGTACAGATAATTGTGTGAAAATGTAAGAAGCAGTAGTAAAAAGTAGGCTGAAAAATAATTACTCAAGTAAAGTACAGATACCCAAATATTCTACTTAAGTACAGTAACAAGGTATTTGTACTTAATTACTTTACAACTGTGGTTTCAGTTCTTGTGGGAAAATAGTTAAAACAGGTAGAAAGAAAACCGTAGGCATCAGTGAGGAAATATGAAACATTTACCATATAAGAGGGAATGTACTGTACCTGGTATGGTGAGGTCAAAGTAGATTTGTCTGTATTCTAGGGTTTATTACACACCACATTCTACAATTTAATTTTGATTTATAGCAAATTATTGTATAATTTACTCTCCTTGTGAAGACATTTTGACTTAGACCTTTCAAAATGAAAAAAACTCCAGTTTTTGAGTTTCACTTTCACACAGTCACAGAAAACCACCTGCATGAACTTTCTGTGAAGCTTCTGAATGTTTTATTTCAAAGTTATTTTCTGTGATAGAAAAACAAAAAAAAAACAGAAAATGGGTTTTTTTTTGGTGTAACATATGCAGAAACAGCTGGTGGCAAGTAAAACTATATCAGAGCAGTTAGTGAGTCATCTTATGGTTACTTTTAGACTTTTTTTTTCCTGCAGCTGATGAAATAAGTTTTATGCAAACACTTATGCATCACTAAAACTTGATTTGTTTTACTTATTAGTTTTATGTAAAATATGGGTCTGAGGTCCAACTCAAGTCTCTGCTCCTGACAATTAATGATGATATAGTAAGTATAAATATAAAGTATACAGTAAATCTTGCATTGGTTAATCACTTCAGCCTAAATATCTGCCATCATATCATACTTCATGAGTATTTTTTTTTCATTTTTACATTTACAACGTGACATTTTTTTGTTTAAAACATTACTTTCAGATTCAGTATGGATTGTTTTTGTTGTTTTCGCAAGTCCAACTCAAAGGCACTGTCTTTTATTTTGATTGTATTTATCTAGAATTCTATGAACAACGGCTGTTTATTACATTTGTTCAATAAGTAAATGTTTTAAATCCTTACGAATCCATTTTAACAGTATTGGATATTTAGGGAGTAATTAACAAAAAAGCTCAGAAACAAGCTTATATGAATAAATATAATTGCAATAAAACCTTTAAAATGAAAAATGGACCTATTTACTCGCTTCACTTTTCACTTGACATGACTGTTTGCATTTTATCAACACATAAAACATCTTTCCTAAGAAATCAGCAAAGTTTTGTTTTTGATGGAAAGATTAAAAACGATACATGTTACTATAAAGACGACTCGAGTTTTTTGAACAGTCGTTAAAAAACCCCCCTCTGGGTTGTGCTCAGTGTCCCAGTGTGTCAGGATGTGAACAACGCCTCTGTCAACATTGAGCTTTGCTGAATGGAAAACTACAACCCACAGTGGTGAGGTTGTAGAGGAAGTCGAAGATAACAGAAAACTCTCACTCATCGCTGAACCTCATTGAACCTGTCGGCTACGATGTTGCCTCCGCTGCTTCTGCTTATCTGTCTGAGCGGACAAGTTCTGGCCAGAACACCTCCTGGTAAGATCTTTAATCATCTCATGAATTATAGGTTTGATATTATAATAACTAATTATCATTTTTATAGTCTGTTTAAGTGTGTGATTTGCTGAAAACGTGGTGGATTGATTCATAATCTTTCAAATTGATCGGAAGGACAGCTAGCTGATATTTGTGATAATTCCTAATATTCTAAATAAAAACTTATCATTGAGCATTAACTAAAGGATTTAAGTTCTGCTGAGTGTACAGAGCCAAACTTTAGAAAAATTCCCTTCATGACATTTGTTCCTTTTAAGTGTTCATTCATGATTTGTCATCATGTGACATCAAAACGCTGTCAAATGTTACATAATGAATAATAATGTATCCTGTAACTGCAGTTACCTCTAAATAAATTAAATGTTTATACTTTTTATATATTAATAACTCTGAGAAAGAAAGTCACAAAAAGGCATGACACTTCTCACTTTTCATCAGTTGCTGAAAAGTGATACTTTCATTTCTGTCAAATTTCAGAAACGTTTAGATTTTTCATCAATAATCGCAGGATGCTCATCTATAACTGATAAGGATTAACAAACCCCAAAATTTCCCTTTTGGAGACAAAAAGATGACCATAACTCAGTGAGCTCAAATTTAGTGTGGAAATGAGTCATTTATAACTTTAACAAAGTATAAAGTGTCACAACATCCTGGGCTGCCACGCATTTTATGTTAATTTACCCAGAAAATTTCACCAAAAAGATTCAAACATTTCAGAGTATTAGGCGTTCGTTCAAAGAAAATAACACATTTTTCTCCCCACAGATTTTTTTGACGGACTATGGCGTCTGCTTTAACGACGCAATCTGATCTTTGTCAGTTTTATTTTACCCTCTTCCTGCCAAACTTCCTGAGACGTTCAGATAGATTAAAGCTGCGAAAACTTCAGAAAAAAAATACTTGATTTGTTAAAACTTTGTTTTTCTTTTTTTCGATGCGATGTGGAATATATTTGGGAGGATGTGGAGGGTGGGAAAGAAGACGTATATTTACGAGATTCTGCAGAAGTTTGGTATTGTGTCGAAATAATTACCGCAGACTTTTTGTCCCGTTCATAAACAGCAGAAAAATTAGATTCAGATGCCTGCATCCATTTATAGACAATTTTAAACCCTAGACAAGATTTCAGGTGGTGCTCCCTTGTGTAATTTTCTAAATCCCACTGCCAATTTAGATACAAATACCAAATTTAATTGTTTTGTCTTTGGTTTGATTCATTTGAAACAGAACAGCAGGAGTCTACCTGCCAACATCTGCTGACAGCAACAAGGAACACCTGTTCACGTTAACGAGCAGCTGTGGAGTGAAGCAGTTCTAGGGGGTCCAGTATATTAAAATTGTAAAAGATCTGCTCAAAACTATGCATTTTCCATTTGAAGGGCATTTTACTCAATTCTCGGGATTAATAAAACAACATAAAATCAGCATTTTATGAAGGTAGAACACTGAAAACCAGACTTTAAGCTCAACTTTATCTTAGATAAAAACTGAAACCTTCATTACCCTCATTTTGTTTTATATTGCCACGCTGAGCATCAGTTGTTAGTCTTGACTGCATCGTATATCATGCAGTATGTTCTGCACCATATAACACCTCATGGCTGAGAAACCCACAGAACAAGTTTCCTTTATAAGTTAGAGACTGAATAAACTTTCTGATAAAAAAAGTTTTTTCCATTCTTCATTTGTGGCACCCTTAGCAAATGCCTATACTGCCTATGCCATGGGTCCTTCATGTTTTAATTTAGAAGTCTTTATGCAGTATGTTTTAAAACATTATTAAAAACCTTTTCTTGCTTCTTCTTATTAACTTATGTTAGTCCAAGTTTAAGACAAATAAAGTTCATCATTCTTTTATTTGGCTCCTGAAAAATAACAAAAACATGCCATCTATATTTAGTTGGACAATAATGTATTGCTGTTTTTGTTTTGTATGATGGCCCACACTCAGAATATTTCCTCTCCAGGCTGAGATTTGATAAAATYGTGTGCAGACCGTAGATTTAAAAATTCACTCGTGTCTTCAAAGAGACATTTTCAAACCGTCATGCTGAGACTGTGAGGCTGGCTGAAAAATCACAGGTGCAAAGTTTCATTTGAGCAAGTTTCCTTTATGTGGTCAGATGTTATTTTAGTTGTACGTAACAGAAATTTTCAGCTCGGGTTGTTTGGCAGTCAGACAGTTTTCAACAAGCTGAGGTTTTGCTGGTTTTTCGCGGGTGATCGAGAACAAGTGTATGCCTCTGAGTTTGTTTGTCTGTTAGCAAAATATCTCAAGAATCAATGGACAGATTTCGATGAGCATGTCTACATCTAATAAACAAATCAACCTCAGCAAACACAAAAAATGATTAGAATGCCAACATTTTTACAGAGTTTTAATGAGAGTTTGGCTTTGCAGTAATGGAGGCTGATTCTTATATCATTTATATTTGCAGCAGTGTTACAGTTTGTTTAATGTCTTGTGTTTTGAACAGGTGTGGAGTGTGTTGCGATGAATTTGGAGTATGTTCAATGTTTCTGGAATAAAAATGGTATTCCAGAGGTCAATTACACCTTTTCCAGCCGGTTAGTACCTGATGAGGAAAACATGTTGTAGTTAAAATGAACCATACAGGCCAAGCTTTCACTTTCTTTTCAAGATAAATGTTCTGAATGTAAAGTTCTCTAAAAGGTCCTTGAAGTCCAAATTTACAAAAAAAATGTATTTACATGAACTGTATTTTGTTCTTAGCTGAAAATATGAACAAGTTGTTTGATGCTTTATACAAAATACTGCATAACTGTTAAGATAAGCARAAAAGCTAACATGTTAATGTATTTTTGTATTATTTTATCTGTAAAATGTACAAGAACTAATAATATTACAGATTACAAAGATAATAAACTGCAATAAATTTTGGACTGTTACTTGTATAAGTTTCTAAAACCTATTTTTACACAGGTTCACTCATGAAACAGAAACAAACTGTTCTGAATACTTATCAGAAAACGGCACAAATACTGGATGCATTCGGGCTTTGAAAAAAATAATATTCAGGCTTCACCAATTTTACACGACCTTGAGAAACAGCAGTGAGGTGTATCATCAGTATCATAAGCCGCCAATGAAAGGTATGGACATGTTTTGCTGTGTAACGTAAAATGAAGCTGCACTCGTTTTAGAAGAAAAGGATTTCRTCCAACATATATCATAAACATAAAGTATGAAATAATCCCATTTCCTGTCTCTTCTGTTCGTGCCGTCACCAGTCAAGTTAAAGCCACCATCCAACCTGACGGTAAAAAAAGGATCTGACTTCAACCTGTGGTTTTACTGGAACCACACTCATAGAGGACATGTGAAGATTCAGAGTCAAGTCCAACACAGAATAAACAACAACATATGGGAGGTCGGCGGCAACTGGTTCCTTATTTTTTCATTTGTGAAACTTGTTTTAAATTTCTAATTCCATCAACTTGTTCTAATATTTTTCAGCCCTCTGATGTTGTTGATGACAGGCAGTATTATTGCATTGAATCCCCCTCCAACAGCTCCAGATATGAGCTGCAGGTACGAAGCAAATGTGGCCCAGATAAAGACTCAAAATCTTGGAGCGACTGGAGCGAGCCGGTGGTCTTCGATAAGAGCCCAAGTAAAACTGCAAGCTGTTAGTTTGTACATCTGCAGATAAACAAATGTTGAAACACTGAACTACATCTCTCCTTTTTCCCTCCCAGATACAACTATGGTAAAAAAGGTAGATGGGTCAATGTCTGTGTGGACACCAGTGCATTATGTGGTGGGGGTCATCGGCTTCATCCTACTGATCCTGCTGCTAATGAAACATGACAGGTGGGTCTCCCAGCATGCTTTGGAGGTTTGTTATTGATTCAATTTTTATACATCTTATATTCTAATCCTTTAATATCTTGTTTCTGATATTCTAGTTTCCTGCTTCTTTAGGAATTATCCTTTTGCACTCTTCTTCGCATAACATTTGTCTTCATTCTGCCTCACAAACACGTATTTCAGCATTTCAATCAATCCTTTGTTCTTTCATCTTTTTCTCTTTGGCGCAGTGATCTTCATCAGCGCTCAAGGATCAGTTTGCTGCAGTAGTTCAGTGGTCTAAGGTTGTGTTAAGAAGGGTGTCCAGCTTAAAACAATTGGCARATCTTTCATGCACGTCGGCTTGCTATGGCTGCAGCAGGGAGCAGCAACAAAAATTAAATAAAAAAATACAAAAGCAAGAACCAAAATGATTTACCTGTAATCAGCAACTAAATACGTTGACTCATGTGTCTGGATTGTTGCCTCCGCCGAGGGCRAGGTAATGTTTTCAGTTGCGTATGTCTGTCTGTCGTTCTGTCTGTGGACAGCATCACTCAAAAACTTGAAGACGGATTGTCATGACATTTTTATCACGTGGGTACTGGGCCAAGGAACACACCAATAAATTTTGGTGATGTTCCGGATCACGATGCGGATACAGGAATTTCTTTTCTTTTAACACTCTGAGATCGGCAAAGCTGTGATGCTTTCACAGGGCTTCTGTAAAAAAAACAGTGAGCTGGATTGGACAGCACGGACTTCAAACTTTATTAAAGTAATGTTAAAACCAGTTTTAATGATGAATAATTTTTGCCATAATATGCACGTTTACAGAACATTTTGTGACCAGGAAGTGCGACTGCACCATGAAACTTATTTTTCCCATTTCCTCAAACACACCACATTTCCGAAACAATCAATCAAAACAGTTTCTCACTACTAAACAGAGAGCTGCTGGGCCTCAAAGTTTGGGGACGGGGGGAGCCAGGAAGCACTTTATAAAGAGTCAAACCAGTACAAACTCATACAAGGAGATAAAACCGACGTTTTACATGGTGAAATGTGACTGATGAAAACTTAGGAGCTTAATCTGACACCAGTTTGACGATGAATAACGTCGGGTGATGAGTCTTTTTTTTTTCACATTGGACTCCACCGAGAAGAAATCCCATGCATACTGCCTGCTTAAATGTTCRCTACGTCAGAACTTATTCAACAAATGTGTTTCCATCTCTGCTTTTGCGCATTAACTCTAACAGGATGGGGGAAATTGGTCTTGGCGGAGGTTTGCACTCTCCGAGTGATTCTAATTTATAAAAGTGCTTAGAAAAGAAAGTACAAAAGAAAATGTAAAGCTATGCATATCGCCCGTCATCTTGCATGGATCCTTCAAAATATGTCGACTGAGACGGCAGCACTGTTAGGCTTGTTTATCTCTTTATGTGTCCCTGTGATCCCAGACAGCAAAAGATGTTAATTCAAWGTTGAATTATGGTCAAAAAAAGTTGAATTTTGGTGAACATCGACGACTGATGGTGGATCAACCATCAAACAATCATCCATTTCTCGCCACATAACCAGTGTTGAAAGGGTTATTGAATCAATGTTGTTTCATGGTTGAGAYTGAAATGCCTTTAAATGGATGGTTGGTTTATGAGATAATTGATTCTATGAATGTTTCTAACATCTATTCAGGCTCAGAATCATCTTCATCTCAGTGGTTCCCAAACCCTCTCTGAAGTCTCCCGACTTCAAGGTCAGTACACCCAGAACMTTCACATAAACTTCTCATGAACATTTATTAGTTAGCTTTCAAAGCTACAGTTACTGAACGCAATGAACAGAAGGGACATCTGTAGTTGTGCTTAGTGTAAGGCTGAGCTTCTTCAAAAATGTGCTTTAACCTACAGGATGTCACTGTCATCATGTAAGAAAATACGTATTCAATAGACTGAAGTCAATATGAAAACCACGATTGTTAAATAAAATGATTTGTAGAAGGAATAAACCATACAAAACCAGAATTCTGGAACCGAGTGAGGTTTCATTGCCACCAGAGCTGAAAGGAAACCACACTGGCGAAAAACCAGGAAGTACATCAATTTATACATGATTCTTCAATGCCTGCGTTCGCCCCCTACTGACCTACGGCTGAATCACAGGCATTCAGACAAAAATCTCATCTACTGTTATCATAACGTTTTAATTATGTGTTGTTATAATTCGGACATGTAACTAATCTATATCAAAACATAATAGATTAAACATTGTCAACATTATAAAAAGGAAAACCTAAGAATATAGTGTTGTGCTTTTAACATCAGAACTAACCTGTAATAACTTTAAATTTCTTCAGTCTGACTCTTCTCAAATTAAGTGAAATAATCTACGAAAAACACTTTTTGACGGACATGAGATTGTAAGACTTGGTTAGACGGACAGTTTTGTGTGTCCTCGGGACA